TCAATGTAAACTAACAGAATGTGTCCCAGCGGCCTACCTTGACTAACAAAGACGTTCATCATTTAGGAAATTGCAAGTACTTGATGGCTACCTCCCAGGAACCAGAGACAAAGACAAACTAAATTCTTTATTATATAATACTGTAGTCCACCCTTTTCCATGGTTTCACTCTATATAGTTTTAGTTACATGTGGACACAGTTCAAAAATATTAAATGGAAAATTTCAGAAATACATCTTAAGTTTTAAGTTGCATATCATTCTGAGTAGCATGATGAAATCTCATGCCATCCCATTCCATTCCTCCCAGGATGTGAATCATCCTTTTGTCCAGTGTATCTACTTTGTGTATACTACCTTCCTGTTAGTGTAGCCATCTTGGTTATCATTTCAACTGTTGCATTAACACTGTGCTGCTTCTGTTCAAGTAATCTTTATCCTACTTTTTGTGGTTTTTTTTGCTGTGTGAATGTGCCATGCTGGGGATGAAACCCAGGACTTGTATTTCCTAGGCAAGTGCTCTGCCACTGCGCTACATCCCCAGACCCTTATTGGCCTCCTTATTCTTTTTTGTTAATGACTTCAAAGTACAAGATTAGTGATGATGGCAATTCAGATTTGCCAAAGAGAAGCCATAAAGTGCTTCCTTTTAGTGAAAAGGTGAAAGATACAGATTTAAGAAAAAAAAAATGGTATGCTGAGATTGCTAAGATATATGGTAAGTCATTAAACTTTTGCTGTGCTTAATTTTTAAATTAAACTTTATTGTATGTATAGGAAAATGCATCATATATCTAGTGTTCAGTAGTATCTGTGGTTTTTCAGGTATCCACTGGGGATTTTGGGATGTATTCCCTGAGAATAAGAGTGGGGCTATGTAAATTTTTTAAAATTTGGGATTATATCTAATACAAGTATATTTTAGTCCTTCCTATTCAGCTAATCAGAAATCCTAGAAAAGTACTCTCATCTCTTGTTGGGGAATATAGGCCTATAAGTGCTCTAGGATCTGAGTGGAGAAAAAAAGGCAGAATGAAGAAGGTTGGTTCAGCACTCACTATGTAGCTGTCCATTTACTCCCCCAGTTTTCACTTGGCACCCAGTGAAACTCAACTGCCTCACCCAATGTGAAAATACATCTCACATCTTCTTCACTGGGGTAGGTTTTGGAGTAATGTAGAAAATTTAGGAACATCAAATTGCTTCATAAACAGATTTTCACACAGTCCTTGCATAAAATTCCTGGGCATTTTGGGGATGGGATTCTGTGGGGAAAATTGGATTGCTTCTTGGCTTTTCCTACTTCTTGTTTTAAATTCATCCATTTTAGGTAAGCAGTTTAGTATGTGAATGAGGTATTGGGAATTAGCATAGGTTAAATGCCTTGTGTTTAGTGTATCATCTTTACCTGGAAATGTACTGGACATTCTCTATATTTACTTCTTTCCTTTATGATGATTTTCTTGATGTAACGAGTGTTGGTTTTGTGTATGCTTTTGAGAATCAAATTTAAGGCTGGCTCATTGGTAAAGTGCTTGCCTAGCATTTGTGAGGTTCTAGGTTCAATCCTCAGTACCACAGGCAAAGAAAGAAAGGAAGGAAGGAGGGAAGGAAGAAGGAAATGAAGGAATGTAGGTAGGTCTTGTGTCCATCTATAACTAAAAATATATTTTAAAAAATCAAATTTAGGTGATTAGAGATGAAGATGGGTGTAAACTGAGATGGAGGTCCTTGTCACATATATAGATACAGACATTATATTGTGTTGCATTCTGTTTAGTTCAAGGAAATGGTTAGAAACAATGAAGAAGCAGATTCTTACAGGAGAAATATTTGAAAGACAATTCCTTCTATTTGAGCACAATAATAGTGATATTTTAAAAACCAGCCATCTGTAGCTGGGGGAGGTAGAAAAAGCCTATAATCTCAGTGACTCAGGAGGCTGAGGAGGAGGATAGCAAGTTCAAGGCCAGCCTCAGCAACTTAGAGAGACTCTCAGCAATTTATTGAGACCTTGTCTCAAAAATAAAACAACCCTGGGTTCAATCCTCAGAATCACACACATGCAAAAAAGCAAAAACAAAACCAAATCTTCCTCCCACAAACCAACTATCTATGCTGTGCAATCCAGCCACTTATAATGGCTAGATACCTTTATGGAGAAAAAAAATAAATTACCAAAAAGCAAAGAGATAGGACCACTGCTCGGATTTTTTTTTGTTTGTTTTATTGAGTGCTAAAAATTTTCTCATCCCCTTCTACTATTATATACCACTACTCTCCTGCTCCTTTCTGATATCTATTATTTATTCATTTTTTAAAATTTATGGTAAAATACTTAAAACATTTGTCATTTAATTTGTGTGTGTGTGTGTGTGTGTGTGTACATGTGTATGTATATGGTTATAGGGATTGAACCCAGAATGCTCTACCACTAAACTGTATTCCCAGCCCTTATTATTTTTAATTTTGAGACAGGGTCTCACTAAGTTGCTGAGGATGACCTCGAACTAGTGATCCTCCTCCTTCAGCCTCCTGAGCACTTGGGATTATAGGTATGCAACACTGAGCCTGGTGACATTGAACCATTTTTAAGTTCATTGGAATTAATTATATTCACAATGTTATGCAGCCATCACGATGCTATTCTAAAATTTGCACTACTCCAAACAAGGAACTCTAATTATTATTAAGCAATAATTTTTTTTTTTTTTTTTTGGCATCCCTGGATGGACCCAAACAGTAAAAAGTTTTATCCCCTCCCTTCCTCTGGCCCTTGATAATCTGTATTTTCTAACTCTCTGGAATTGCCTGTTTTGAATATACCATATAAGTGGAATCATAAAATATTTGACCTTTTGTGTCTGGCTAATTTCACTTTGCATAACATCTCCTAGGTTTATTCATGTTGTAACATAGATCAGAACATCATTTTTTTATGACTGAATAATATTCCTTTGTGTTTATTTTTGCACCAGGGATTGCATTCAGGGGCACTCAACCACTGAGCCACATCCCCAGCCTTATTTTGATTTTTATTTAGAGACAGGGTCTTACTACTGAGTTGCTTGGCACCTCATTTTTGCTGAGGCTGGTTTTAAACTGGCAATCCTCATGCCTCAGCCTCCCTAGCCACAGGGATTACAGGTGTGTGCCATTGTTCTAGTTAATTTACCACATTTTGTTTATCCATTCATCTGTTGTTGGACCTTGAGTTGTTTCTACCTTTTGGCTATGGTGAATAAAGCCGCAATGAACATTGGTATACAACATTTCTTTTGAGTCCTTGCTTTCGATTTATGGGGATTTCTACCTAGGAGTGGAATTCCTGGGTCATGTGCTAATTTTTTATTTTTAACTTTTCGAGTAACTGATAAACTGTACCCACAGTTTATATTCCCACTAATAATATGTGAGAATTACAATTTCCCTGCATCCTCCTTCTTCATTGATGAGATCCATCCTAGTAGAAGTGGTATCTCATTGTGGTTTTGATTTGCATTTTCCTAATAGGTGTTGGGTGTCTTGTCTTATCTTGTTAACCATCCATATCTTCTTTGGAGAAATGTCTGTTCAGTCTCTTGTTCATTTTGTTTGTTTGTTTGTTTTTTTGAAAGTATAATTTTACTTCATTTTTTTCTCCCAGAGGATAGTTTTTCTTCAGTTCTTGAAGACTCAGCTTCTTACATGGGCTTTGTTGGCGGTTGTGGGGCAATACCTGTAGGTCTATATCTGGGTGAGGTGTTCTATCCTTCTGGGCTTCATGAGATCCATGATTCTTGACCACCTGGCTACAAGTGGCACAACTCAGCACTGCTCACGTAGTAATATAGCTTCACGTGCAGTTTGGGAAGCATATAGGCATTGAGGACACTGAAGGCATGTCCTGATATCTGCAACATATGCTATGTTTCAAACTTCTTAATGGCTTTTGTTCTTGGACACAGAATCTAGTGCAGTTCATGCTACTGAATTGTCTATACTTGGCTGTGGCATTTTTTGACACAACCTTGTTCCTTTTGGCTTTTGGTCATCTTGCAAGTGACAACCCAAGACCTTTGCTCATATTTTAAATTGGGTTATCTTTTGTTCTTAAGTTGCAGAATATATTTATATATTCTGGATAGTAGATCTTTTTAAAAATATCTTTGTTTTACTTTTATTTATTTTATGTGGTGCTGAGGATCAAACCCAGTGCCCCACGCATGCAAGGCAAGCACTCAACAATTAAGCTATAACCTCAGCCCTGGATAGTAGATCTTTATCAGATATATGGTTTACAGATATTTTCTCCCATTCTGTTCATTGTCTTTTTGCTTTCTTTTTTTCTTTTTTTAATTTTTTTTTTAGAGAGAGAGAGAGAGAAAATTTTTAAAAATATTTATTTTTTTGGCGTATACAATATCTTTGTTTTGTTTGTGATGCTGAGGATCCAACCCTGGCCGCATGCATGCCAGGCRWGTGCACTACCGCTTGAGCTACATTCCCAGCCCGTCTTTTTGCTTTCTTGATAATGCCCTTTGATGTCCCAAAGTTTTAGATTTTGATGAAATCTGGTTTATAGTTTTAAGTCTTTATGAAATCTGATTTATCTCTTTTTTTCATTTGTGGCTTTTTGTTTGTTTGTTTCAGTACTGGAGGTGAACCCAGGGCCTTAGCATATGCTAGGCAAGCACTCTACTACTGAGCTATATCCCCAGCCTTTGGCTCAGGCGTTTTCTCTCTTTGTAACAGAGCCATCTGCAAATATCTGCTCTATTACCCTAGAAAAGTGAGAGATACCCTCATAGTTACACCTTGGACACTCCTTTTGGAAACTCTGTATGTGATGCTGTGGATTAAAATAATCAGGCTTTCTCTAGGAGTGGTATGAATGCATTCTTTCAGTATATTTCTCTCATATCTCTAATAACTGTTCACCCTTTCTCTTAAACTATAAAAACACAAATATCAGGTACTGTATCAATGTTTAATATGGTTTATTCTGATTTTTCCTCCTAGCGGATCTGAAAAGAACAATTGCCGTCCTTTTGGATGATATTTTGCAACGCTTAGTGAAGCTGGAAAACAAAGTCGACTACATGGTTGTGAATGGCTCTGCCACCAACACAACCAATGGTACTAGTGGGAATTTGGTGCCCGTAACCACAAATAAAAGGATAAACGCATCAGGCAGCATTAGATAGCAGTTGAAGATCACCCTGTTGTGCTACGTCCACCGTGGATTATATCCTATTGCAGAAAACCTTTTGAATTGCTGGCTAGGACAAAAGAATCCTTTTAAAAAGCTCCATGTGTTTTCAAGGAGTGTGCTGGATTCATGGAACTCTTAATTCTGTATATAAAAATTTAAAATGTTATTAGTTTGTTATCAGACAAGTCTCTTCATTGCTGTAATATATCCTTAAAGGGAATTTGATAACATGGTTAATGTAGTATTAAGCAGGTAGGTGATCTTGTATAAATCTTTTGAGTTTGAGGTGAAGCTGAAGCAAAAACACTAAAGACATATTTGTTTGTATAAAATATTTATTTACGTATGTAACTTGTTTTTTTCAGACAAGTGGAGAATATTGTTATTGATTCATTCTGTCACTTGTTCTCAGTAGATGTAACTGTTTGACTAAGGCTATTAGAAAACATGTTTTACTTCCAGGACTATATTTTGTTACTAAGATATGAGCAGAGAAAGGAAGTATAATGTTGAAATGTTTTGAAATCATGACCCAAAGAATGTCTTCATTTGCACTATCCTTCAAAATAACTGAAGGTTAATTATTGTATATTTTTAAAAATTACATTTGTAAGAGTATAATATTGAAATGGGTAGCAGTCACTGTCCATAAGCTATTCTTAACATTGAGGGCAACTTAATAACAACATTAAAATAGTATTCTTTAATCACATACTTAAAATTTTCTTATATATATTCTAAAGAGTAAGAGATATTTTTATGATGAAATTAAAAGTAACTAAAGTATTCATGATTTTTCACATACATGAGTGTTGCTTTAAAAGTTCAATCCCTTAGCTGGGTGCAGTGTCCCATGACTGCAGTCCCAGCTGCTTAGGAGGCTGAGGCTGGAGGATCAAGAGTACAAGGCTGGCCTGGGCAACATAGTAAGAACCTGTCTAAACAAACAACAAATGAAACAAACAGCATTTGACCCCTTGAGTATTTATATGACCAGGATGCATATTATTTCCATGTTTGGGTGAGTTTGCTTTTGTTATGTTGGTGGGGAGGAAGATACTCTTGAGGACTTTAATCAGATATGTATAATGAAGGTGTTTGTGCTACATAACACTGCTTAGAAAATGTTAATATTACTTGATGTTATATAAGAGTATCATGCTTTATGAAACCTTTTTGATTAGGTTTTCATTTAATATAAGACCAYTTAAAATAATTAAGAACAGTTAAGATATATTTAAATTATAAAATTGGCTATCCTTTCAGATACTGAATACAGCACAAGAAATACCAATCTAGGGTAATTTTAGTGTAGAAAGAAGTACACCTTTATTTAAATTTCCCTTGTAGCAAATCTAATTGCTATATGGTACCCTATATGTCATAGTATTTATTACTCTAAATACCTGCTGAAGTGCAGCTAGCTTCTAGATTGAATTTAGTTTTAGGTATTGTATTCATTATAATATGCTACCACAAATAGTAGCAATAATTATAATATTTTTGTTTGAATATGTGTGAGAAGATATTATTTCATGAAAGATGATTTCCATATTGTCTTTTCTGAACCTTTATGTGAAGAAACTAATTATATACAATTGCCAGGTGAAGTGTGGAATAATTGGTCTCTCTGATGAGATGTGGACATTTTTGTTTCTTTTTTTTGTTTTCAGGGATGAAATAAAATATATTATTTGTATTTACAAAGTGTTATACATTTTTAAAGTAGTGGTTATTCACTTAATAAATGGTAAATAAATAAGGAATTTTCATATAACTTTGGGTTTTGTTTCAATAACACTGGATAACTTTTCAAAAGAGAAAAATTTTAGGTTATCTAGTGCCTCTCATTCAATGCTTGGATGGACACCTGGGAATAAGTCTGGATTGAGATTTAGTGTGGATTCTAAGTTTGTACCCTTACGTTGAAATTTACTGTTGATTTTTTATGAATTTTTTTATTTGTCTATGGACCTTTATTTTTTATTTTTTAAATTTATTTATAGGTGGTGCTGAGAATCGAACCCAGTGCCTCACACATGCTAGGCAAGCACTCCACCGCTGCCACAAGCCCACCCTTACTGTTGATTTTTTAAGAGTCAATTCTTCATTGGGGGGGGGGGGGCAGTGGCGCATACCTTGCAATCCCAGTGGCTTCAGAGACTGAGGAAAGAGGATCCTGAGTTCAGAGCCAGCCTTAGCAATTTAGTGAGGCCCTAAGCAATTCAAAGAGACCCTGTCTCTAAATAAAATGTAAAGAAGGGCTGGGGATGTGGCTCCATGGTTAAGCACCTCTGGATTCAATCCTCAGTACCAAAAAAAAAAAAAAAAAGGTTTCATAATTATATTTTCAGTTAATTTTAGTTAATTGTGCCAAGCTGGTCACTGTTTAGATACCCATGGTTCCATGGAACTTCGATTCCAAGAAGCATCAGAGAAAACCAAATAGTTAATATACTGTTTAATGTTGGATATATCAGAGCTCTGAAGAAAGTAAAAAGGATAAGAAAAGAAGGGGACAGGAATGCTATTTTAGGAAGATGGTCAGAGATGCCTTCCCTTCCATTGTAACATTTGCGTTAATACACCTGAATTGTGTTTGGGAGGGAACTATGAAAATATCTGGGGTGAGTGAGAGTCACAGACAAATGACTATGACTGAGGCAAAACCATGATTGATATGGTCCAAGAAGAAAAAAATCTGCAGAAATGAGCAGGAACAAGAGAGGTGGTTGGCCAGAAAGACTCGGGGCAATTTAGAGTTGAGTTTAAAGTTCAGTTGAGAACTCCAGATTTTAAGTGGAAATGGTAAGTCAGTAGAGAATGTGGCCATTCAGATATCAAAGTAACAGTTATTGTTCTTTTGCAGTGCTGGGGATTGAACCCTGGGCCTTACATATGCTAGGCATGTGTTCTACCACTGAGCGACATCCCCAGCCCAGAGATTGACATTTGTATACTAAAATGTCAACAGTATGTATCCCTGGGCAGAAAGATTTCAGATGTTCTTCCCATTTTGCTTCTCTGATTTTTTTTTTAATTTATTCTCAAGCATTGAGCCCCTACCATTCTCCTAACCAATAGTTCTTAACAAAGTTGATCTTTTTTGTACAATATATAAATTCCTTTCCAATTCAGTAAGTATAATGGTTAATCTGTTGTTTGGCTGTATCACATATATCTTTCACTCAATTTTTAAGCATTTTGGTTGCAAATAAAATATTTAGCTCTTTGTGTGGGGGCACCTCTAAAGTCTGACCACTTTGCATATGTTATTTAAGATGCTGGAGGGTAACAATAAAGTGTGACAAATGACCCATTTTGGGGAGACAAACTGGCAAAATGTTACCACTTGAATGGAAAAGTAAGGGCAAGGCTGGCATGGTGACACTTATAATCCTAGCATTTTAGGAGGCTGAGGCAGGAGGTGTGTAAATTCAAGAATAACTTTGGCACTGTAGGTAGATCCTGTTACAAAATAAATGAATAAATAAAAAGGCCTGGGGATATAGCTCAGTGATAGAGCACCCCAGGAACAACTCCCAATAGTGCCCCCMAAAAAGCATAGAATATCTAAAATAGGTGACAGGTGACTATTCTCAGACTTTGTTTTAGATCATGAGGAACAGGTCAGAAGGATTTTGCAGCATAAGAAGATAGAATGTTCAGTGGCTTATCTATAATTAGGTTAAAGAGTGAGGAAGGGAGCGGGTAGTGGTTAGATTTAAACAGATCAATTTTGTCATTTCATAGCTTGGGTTTTTTTTTTTTTTTTTTTTTTGGTGCTGGGTGTTGAACTGACGGCCTTGCATATGCTAAATACGTGCTGTTTTACAGCTTTTAAAAAATATTTTAAAATATAGTTTAGTGGTTAATGGACCTTTATTTTATTTATTGGTATGTGGTGCTGAGAATTGAACCCCGTGTCTCTTACATACTAGGCAAGTACTCTTCCACTGAGCTACAACCCCAGCCCGGCTACAAAGATTATTTAAATTTTAATGGATTTTTTTTTTTAGATTTTTATCAGTTTCTGTATCTTTCAAATATACGTTGAGTGAGTTTAAGACAATAAGTCTGATGTAGGTCAAGTGTAACTTCACAGTGCTTTTTTAATATGTGTTAGCAGCATTATTCATTTTAATGAATCACTGTTTTATTGTTTTTTAATTTTTTATCTTAACTCTGTGTTGTTGTTGTTTTATTTTGTAGTATTGAGTATATGAACCCAGGGATGCTCTACTACTGAGCTATGTCCCCAGCCCTTTTTATTTTTTATTTTGAGAGTGGGTCTAATTTATTTAGGCTGGCCTTAAACTCATGATCCTCCTGCTTCAGCCTTCTGAGTAACTGGGATTACAGATGTGTATCACCATGCCTGGCTCTAGTGCTTCATTTTATCTACCCGCCCCTTTTCTTTAATATCTACAAATTTTTTAGGCAATGAAATGAGCTATGGCTTTGAGGACTCTGTTGGAGGTGAGAGGATTGTTGATATGAAGGCTTGGGGAAAAAAAGGAAACATTATGAATCATTGGTGTGAGAATTACACAAAGCATTAGGTTATATTCAATTTTGAGACATTTTTGTTTGCCTTCAAATGACATTTAATGAGTATTTGAAACTACTGTGATACATGGGAATTGAACATTCCCTAAAGGCTTGTGTATTGAAGGCTTGGTCCCCAATACAGCAATAGTCAGAGGTGGGGTGTTGGGATGGGATTGGATCATGAGGATTCTGACCTCATCATGGATTAGTCCATTGACAGATGAATAATTTGATGGCATTATTGGCAGCTGGTAGAGACCTTAGGAGATGGGGCCTATTGGGGAAGTGATTCCTAATTGGGAAATTAAACCGTTTAATTTTTTCTATGAAGAAAAATATTGAAATGATATAGAAAATAAATACTATGTAGAAGTTGATTATTTTAAAATACCTTAGGTTTTAGAGTTGAGGTTGGGTTTTAAACTTTCRTGCTGTAATGGTATGACTTCGGGAGAATGTGTATTTTCTAATTCAGAACTTCCAGATCCAAAGCACTGATAATGCCTATCCTATGTGACTCCATGGGGTTTTTGAAAAATTAAGCATGATATGTCTAAAACCCTTTGAGATCTTAAGAAGAGAATATGTGAAAGAAGATTATCTCAATTTTCTAACGTAAGGCTTTGCTGAAAGAACATGTTCAATACATACTTGTTAATTTAACATGAAAAAAGGAGTCTGAGCAGTAGCATATATGACACAATAGAAAGATGTTTCTTAGTACCATAATTCTCAGACTG